TCCACAGCCTTGTCAACACTTGTTTCTGTTTATTTTAGCTATTCTGACAGGTGTGAGGTGACCTCTCCTTGTGGTTTTGATTTGCATTTGCCTGATGATGAGTGATGTTGAGCATCTTTTCATATGTCTGTCAGCCATCTGTATGTCTTCTTTGGAGAAATGTCCATGTCTTCTGCCCACTTTTAATTGGATTATCTATTTTTGGCATGTTGTATCAGTTCTTTATATATTTTGGATACTAAGCCTTTATCAGATATGGTATTTGTAAATATCTTCCATTTTCTGTAGGTTGCCTTTAAGATTTGTTGATGGTTTCCTTCTCTGTCCTTGCTGATTTTTTAAATGTAAAAAATAGTACCTTTAGCATAAGCAAGCTCTGTATTTCCATAGAAAATAGGTTAACATTTTCCATTAAATTTCTTTAATGACAAAAGATAGCTTTTCTTTAAGGAAGAATTGGATTTTACCAGATAGCCTCTATCTACCTAGTGAGACACTTTGAGTTAACTATAGATTTTAAAAGGAATTATAGTGCTATAAGTATCTGTTTGTTCCTGGTAATTATCAGTCTACAGAGGAAGCTAGGATTGAAAGAATAACTGCTACCAGCTAGAGAGCACTCCTGTCAGACCCTGGCCAGGGGCTTCCATACCTTGTCTCCATTAATACACTGGCCCTCTCAGGTGTGGCCATCCTCTATCTGCTGCTGAGGAAAGTTGTTATCTGCTGAAGGTCACACAGGGAGTGAGTGAAAAAGCCGGGATCCTAAACCCTTACTCTTACATATGACACTAACACTCGGTTGTGTAGTGACTGACCTATTCAGAATACTAAAATAACTAAAAACAAAAAGGGAAATTGAGATCCTTTTCAAAACCTTACTGAAGAAAAGCTATAATTTGATCTAACTTAGTTATTCCTAGTTATAGGGCACACTTGATTCTGAGCTTTAGTGATTATAGCTCAGATCAAAGATTGGCCTCTTTATGCTACCATAGACCAAAGGTATATTAGTCCATTCAGAGTAATTAAAGCGATATTTCTGAAGAGTCAGCACGTGAAGTTTGTCAAAGTTCGTGACCTAGGTACAAAGCAGTTGGATCAACGTAAACAGAAGAGGCAGCTGGGAGCAGGAGGGAGCCAGGACCTGGCACAGCCCTCTTGTGCTGGGGTGGGAGGCTGGTAGGCAGCTCTTGGCAACAGGAGGAGGACTGGCTGAAGAAGATGGGATGAGAGAAGGTCTAAGTAGGGATCAGACAGGAGTATCGAGTGGCTTCCTGTTAAGTCCATGTGGCAGAACCTCTACTGGTTCCCCAAAGGGGAGTTAGACCAGGTCCAGAGCAGGACATTAAGCCCCTCCTGGAGGACCAGAGTCCCGGGCAGGGGAACAGTCAGGATTGGGACGAGAGCTGAGACGGGTGTTTGTGTTACTTGCTTTGGATCTCGTGCTTCATGGGTACTGTTAGACTTGGCTGAGGGATTCCAGATCCCAGGGTGCGCGCGTGTGTCTCAGGGTCAAGGAGCCGCAGAGGGGCTATTTGCTTGCTTATCTGGTTCAGGAATTGATTTTCACGACTATGTGATAGAATTCAGACCGCCCCCGTAGACCTCACCCCTTCCCTGCATTGGCCTAGGTTCCAGCCTGTGGATGTCTGCAGGCAGGTGGCAGGTGGGCAGGGCAGCCATCAGGCTGGACCAGAGAGGCGGCGCCGGAGGAGGCCAAGGCAAGCACTGCCAAAGACAGAAGTTGGCTCTGGATTGGGACAAAAATCCAGAAAAGGCTCTGGTCTTATTTTCATAGAACCAGGCCAGAGAACACTGAATGAACATGTATTACCCTTAGCTTGAATTATCAGATGGCTTATTTCTAGTTTCACAACTGGAAGCGTTCTTTGGAAAACCCACATTTAGGTAGTGAAAATTACACTTCCTGGGCCAGACTCCTTGTGTAACTAGAAATGACGATGCATGGAAAGATGACTTTATTATTTTATTTTTATCAGTAGACAAACTTCCTAAAAAATTTACATACTCATATTTGTAGATAAACCCACATCATAAAATGACTAATAGGACCCTGTTCTGAATCGTGAAGTCTTTGCAGATAACAAGCAAGCTGAAAAATGTCTAAATCTAATTTTAATTTAAAAAAAAATTTTTTTTTTCAACGTTTATTTATTTTTGGGACAGAGAGAGACAGAGCATGAACGGGGGAGGGGCAGAGAGAGAGGGAGACACAGAATCGGAAACAGGCTCCAGGCTCTGAGCCATCAGCCCAGAGCCCGACGCGGGGCTCGAACTCCCGGACCGCGAGATCGTGACCTGGCTGAGGTCGGACGCTTAACCGACTGCGCCACCCAGGCGCCCCTCTAATTTTAATTTTTAAACTTTTTTCCTAACTTGACAATTAGTCTATAAACTTTGGGAGAAATAAGTTGGGTAATTGTGTAAGTGACTAGTTCTACTTTCTCATGGTGTTTCTAATATGATCTGTTTTCATGGCTCTTTTTGAGGAAGATATCACTCAAGGTGAACACGGACATTTTGCACACAGGTTCTGCTTTTTTCCCCTCATGCAGTAGAGGGAGGAGCAAACCTCTCGTGTGAGTCTTTGCTTGTGGCCATTCCACATGGACAGGTTTTTAGGGCAAGTGGAAGTCTTCTAAAATAGTCAGGCATTTTTTTGTCCCATTAAATCTTCTAGCTCAGGAGTGAAGGCTGTACTCCAGTTTGTTTAGGCTGAGCGGGCCCTTGGAGCGTCTAGGACAGCTCCTTCGAGAGCTAGACAAGGAAGGAGGCTTGGAAGCAGATGAGGCTGGGGGCAGAAAAGGATGTCTGATGCATCACTTGTTAGATCTACCTGGGGGGAACATCCTGAAGTCTTGATGAGAAGGGTGAGAATTGCCTTCCTTGGTCATTTTCATGCGTATTGAGCTCTTAGAGCTTTCTGAAGCAGTTTTCTTCTTTTAGTCTGCATTCCCAACTTTCACTAATAGGTTCAAAAATGTTAAGGCGGGGGAGGGGGAGGGCAAATTAAGCTTTAAGATTGTCTCCCAGTTCCACTGGAGGGTAGCCTCGCAGGCTCCCAAGAGCCCTGGTCCAAGTGGTCGTGTATGGACAGTGGGCATGTATTTAAAACCCCAGGAGCCTAAGCACTGTTGGTGGTGCAGGTGTAGAGACAGACCCTGTCCTCTAGGAGCTTACAGCCTAGTTGAATAGGTGACATGAGCCATTCAGCAAACATTTATTAAGCAGGTGGGAGGGGGAGGCCCTGTGGTAACTCAGCAATGATTAAGTGGAAGTCCAACTTTCTAAGGAGTTTCTAATGAATGGTTAAGTACCAAATACCAAACAATTCAGGCAGAACAGTGAACTTCCTGATGAGTAGTATAAACAAGTGCTCAGAAAGCGGAGGAATCAACTGTGGGTTGGAATGGCCTGTGAAGGCTTTAAGGACCCAGTAGGCTGAAGCAAAAGCTCTGAATTTTGGCCGTTTCTCCCATTCTTGGGATCTGCTAGGTTCTAAAAGCGCAAAGAAGGGTTTCAATGAAGTGTTAATTTCTAAAACTGGAGGGACTCTTGTGCTCCTGGCCAGCTTGCAGTAAAGGTTCTCTCTGGTGGCTTACTGCGGTTCCTGCTTCATGTGGCCTTGCTTTCTCCCCTCTGTCCCGCTGCACCATTTCGCCCACTCCAAGACCTGTGTGTGGTTGTCTCTAGCCGTTCTGTGTGCCTGTTAGTGTAGCAATGCCAGTGATGTGCATTTTCCTTATCTAAAAAAAAAAAAAAAAAAAAAGTAACTTTTTGAATAGCAGTTTACATAGTTGAAAAACCAGAGGGGCGCCTGGGTGGCGCAGTCGGTTAAGCGTCCTACTTCAGCCAGGTCACCATCTCGCGGTCCGGGAGTTCGAGCCCCGCGTCGGGCTCTGGGCTGATGGCTCAGAGCCTGGAGCCTGTTTCCGATTCTTTGTCTCCCTCTCTCTCAGCCCCTCCCCCGTTCATGCTCTGTCTCTCTCTGTCCCCAAAATAAATAAACGTTGGAAAAAAAAATTAAAAAAAAAAAAAAGAAAAAGAAAAACCAGAAAATATATTCAGGAAAAATCCACTCCCTTGTCCCTACCTATTCCCTGACTTCTCTGTCCCTGCCACTAAGTTTCTTACTGATCACTCCAGACTTTATGTTCACATAAGAGAACAAAAATATATTTTTCTTCCATTTTACCAATATACAGATGGCATATTGGATGCATGGTTTGATATCGTTCTTTTCCCAATATATCTGAGAGTTCTTTCCTCATAGTAAATAGAAAACCTTCTGCTGCTTTTCATAGCTGCATCATATCCCACTGTCTAGACCTACCATAATTTAACCAGCTCCCTATTGATGGCGAGTTGGGTTGTTTTGTTCTTTGCATAAAGCAAGCTGTGATGAATAACCATATGTGTCATTCACATGTATAAATACTCCATATAGCAGTGCTAGAGTTCTAGTGATCCTGAGTGGGAAAAGAGGAAATATGGGTTGAAAGGATTCTCACCTTGGCGTGTTCTGTCAGGTCACATCATAACCCAGAAAACTGGAACTAACCTGGTAAATGTGCCTCATAAGAGTAGACAGGAGTCCCTGCCCTAACACTTGTACTATAGAGACATTTTACAAAACCCGAGTTTTTGCTTCTTTGTGGCTTTCACCAGAGTTATCCAATTTCCAAACATGTTTGGCCAGAGATTTTTGGTGGCATTTGCCATTACTGGGTCTGGGCAACCTCATACTCTTTAAAAAAAATTTTTTTGTTGTTTATTTTGCGAGAGAGAGAGAGAGAGGAGGGGGAGAGGGAGGCAGGCAGAGCAGGAAAGGGGGACACAGAATCTGAAGCCGGTTCCAGGCTCTGAGCTGTTAGCACAGAGCCTGATGCGGGGCTTGAACTCACAAGCCACGCGATCATGACCTGAACCAAAGTTGGACGCTCAATCTTAGTGCTACCGTGACCTTGTTTTCATAGGCGGGCCCATCTTCGCTTGTGCCTGGAGAAGTTGAAGGGGCTAGTGCCGCTTGGACCTGAATCGAACCGACACACTACGTTGAGTTTATTGACAAAAGCCAAATTGCACATAAAGGTAGGTATATCCTTGGGATTCCTTTCAGCTTAACCTTCAGTAAAGGTTTGCCTGTTGATGCAGGATAGCAAATGTGTATCTCTAGGACAGTCCTTTCCCCTGAACTCCTCCACCTTGCCTCTTAGATGAATCCCAGGCATCCCAAACCCAACATGTCCAAGACCCCAACTGTTTCTCACTCCTATGTAGCAGAAATTAAATGGCCCATCCAGTTGTCCATTTGATTAAGCCGGGGTCACCCTTGCTAGCTCTTGCTGTGTAGCCACGGTGTCTAAGTCACCTCTAAGACCTAAACATTTCATGGGCTCGTTTACTTCCATTTCACCCTGCCATCATCTACTGTGGTAAACTCCAGAGAAGCTTCCCTGTATCCCTCTGGCCACTGCTGAGCTAAGCTCCATGTTTCCCAAGAAGAATCCTTCGAAAGATCAAATCAACATGTCCCCCTTTTTCAGATTCTTCAGTGGCTCAGGACATACTCTGCAGCAGGCCCGCCCCAGGCTGTCCGACCTGGTCCTTACCTGCCTGTACAGCATCTTGTGCCATAGGCCTTTTCAGCCCTTTGAACTTGTGCTGTCCTACACAGGGCCTTTGTATGTGCTGTTCCCTCTGCTTGCTAGGCTTTCCCCTCCCTTCTTCACCCAGTTCACTTCTTGTCATCCTTCAGACCTTAACATAGGTATCACTAGCTCAGGGAAACCTCTCCTGCCCTGCTTACAGGCTTCCTGCCCCAGATGGACCTATCGTTGGAGAGCGTACTCTCTCAGCGCTGGTCACAGCTGACATCTGACCATGATTTGTATGACACTTTGGTGGTGGTCTCTGTTGTTAGAGGGAGGGGACCAGGTCTTTATGCTCACCTGCCAGAGGGTCTGAAACAGAGTCCTTGCTTGGTAGTAGCTTGAATAGCGGAGGGGAGGGGTATTCAAACTCCTGAGAGCCACAGCCAAACTCACTGTTTAGCATGTTTTTGTAATCCTTTAGTCACTATTGGACAAATGTCACTTTAGTTGTGGTTAGAGGCCTGTACACATGACAATTCTGGGGGGTGGGGGGGAAGAACTTCTATTCAGAGCAAAATAACTACAGTTAAACAGACTTGTAAAAACAAGTGGTCTACAGAAACGTGTTTAAGCTCTTATGTTGGACCGTTTGGAATCAGGACTTCAAAAGGGACCGTTTGGTAGCAGGAAACAAACAGAAGTTAATTGGGATTTGGCACGACTCAAAGTGTTTCTCTAAGCGGAATGTGTAGCTGAATACCCGTACTTGTAAATGGCAGCGCCTCACGGCTGCCGCTGCACGCAGCACCCCAGCTCAGAGAGGCGGTCAGGGCACCCCCCCAGCCAAGGGGGGGGCTGCCGGCCGTGCCCATCCCCAGGGCCCCGACAGTGCAGGTACCCGCGGCTGAGTCAATACGGAAGAGGTTAGATGAAGGCAGGAGTCACTGGCCAGTTTCCTGCCCTGTGAGAAGCTAGATAAGTGACCCCAAATGGCTTTGGGGAAAGGCTGACACACAGCTCAGTGCGAGAGGGGAAGATGCAGAGTCATTGCCAATTTTGAAATCTGCCCATGAGCTCCAACAGCTACCCCTTTGGCTTGCAGAAACTTGAAGATTGTGACAGAAAAGCCATTCACCAAATAGACCAGCTTCAGCGAGAACAGCGACACCTGAAGCGGCAGCTGGAGAAGCTGGGCATCGAGAGGATACGGATGGACAGCATCGGCTCCACTGTCTCCTCTGAGCGCTCAGACTCCGACAGGGGTGAGCCCCCCACCCTGCGTGTCCCCCGATCCGGCCCAGGCAGCGCAGGGGAGGAACTCGGAGCCCACGGGTGACTTAGACTCGTTGAGTAACGTGACATCCAGTAACAAGTCCCTCTTTCCTTTTTGCACTTAGGCACCAGGTCCAGAGAAGGGCCTGGCGGGGCTGGCTCGGATTTCCGGCCTGAGCTTTCAGAAGCATGGCTTCACCAGTGTCTCTTGTCCTCCCCACAGAAGAAATCGACGTGGACGTTGAAAGCACAGACTATCTCACGGGGGACCTGGACTGGAGCAGCAGCAGCGTGAGCGATTCCGACGAGCGGGGAAGCATGCAGAGCCTCGGCAGTGACGAGGGCTACTCCAGCTCCAGCATGAAGAGGATAAAGCTCCAGGACAATCACAAGACGTGTCTGGGCCTCTAAGAGAGCGTGGGCTCCTCGGCTGCCTCCCGATGGTTCTCTCGGCGGACGGGCTTAGGTAGTGTATTGGACCCGCCCACAGCCCCCCTGCACGTAAGCTTCCGTGTACCACCTCTACCAAACTCAGCTTTGTAAACGTTCTCGCGGAAGTGCTTAGGATTGTGGGTTTCTGATTGCATCCACTAGCTTCTCTCTCTGTCCCTAAAAATTCATCCGAGAGACTGTACATTCCAATCAATTTGAAGCACCCAAGAATTCTTAGACCGAATAAGCAACTTTCACATCTCAGCAGTTTCCCCCTCTTCCTTACCATCCCCGTGTAGTCTAGCAAACCTTTCTTAGAGTTTTCTGGCTATGTTACTCACCTAGCAGAAATGTCCGAATGTGTCTTGTGCTTAGGAACCTGAAGGAAACAAACTTTTAAAGTCGAGATCCTGATCTCAGAACTCCAAAGCAAGCTTTGAAAGCGGCGTTTAAGAGCACTTAACTGTGGACCTCACCCCCCGTGAGGAGTCAGGAATACCTCCAGAAAACACCCCCTCACACACACCCTGCGCTGCTTCCCCGACCCGCGTGTGGATGGGAGCAGTACTTCTCACTTTAGAATGGACATCTTGATGGCAGGTCTCTGGGGCTGCACAGCTTTATCAGAGCTCCAGTGGCGCTCGTTCCCACCCACCAGACGGTACAATCTCTGCGATGTGCTCTGGGCCGCGCCGTCCACTGCTGTCCCAAGACCCGTTTTCCCCTCCAAGTTTGTTATGCTACTTGTCTCTGGAACATTTTTTTTTCCTACCTCAGAGATAAATGAGATCTCCATTTCCCACTTAACACAAAGCGATTATGCCTTTTTTTCACCCCCAAATAAGTGACACTTGGTCCAATTCTAATCTATTTTCCTATCTAACTTTCAGCAATAACTGAGCTTTGGCACTAGCTGAGCTAGTGTCCATCATCAGTGAAAGGAAAAGTCCACATTTCTACTCTGTTGCAGGTGAACAGGAGGGGAGGGTACAGTGTTATTAGAATTCCTCTCCTTATTTTTGGATACGCCCAGAATCTTCTTAATGGAGGCTTTTGGGTTGCTAGTTTAAAAGGCTGATCTTTCTTTTTGGTTATGATTTCCCCCTTAAGTGGTCTCCCACTTTGTAGCATTTTTATTTAAGCTAAAACAGAGCACATGTATATGTACATAAGACACATTAAATCTATAAATACTATTTATTCATTTTATATAAACTAATGTAATGGAAAACAAATTCTTAAGACTTTGTGCTTTTATAGATGTTCTAGAAACTTTGTATGTAGGTATCTACAAAATTGGTTCGTTCCCCTTAATATTTTTGCATTCATATTTTTGACGTCAAGGTTTTCCACCTCTGACGAGTCTTTTTCATTGAATTTGAACCATTTGTAAACCCTGTGACGCTGAAACAGATTGTGTGTCACAAAGTGACGAGAACATTCCTAAAATCCACAGACGCACTGCAACCTAAGGGCTCCAAGGCTGCACCAGCCGGCGGAGGGGTGGGGGGGGGCGGGCAGCCGCCCAGCGCTCCCCGCCGCCTGCGGTCTCTGGCCCCCTCCCAGCCTCACCATGCCTCCAGCGCCTCCGCCTTCCACACAACTCAGAGTTCAAACGTGCTCCACAAGGAAGCTCATTCTGCACGTGAAGAGCGGGCCAAACAAAGATTACTTTTGTTTTTTCATTTTAATGATTATTAAAAAAATTTTAATCGGAAGTAGTCGATTCCTAAATGCTTCCAAACTCATCTGTCATTCTTCTGGTTTTGTTTTCTGTTTTTTTTCCTTCATTTCAGCTTTGGGTGGGGGGAGGGGCAGGTGACACAAAGGATTTTTTTTTTAATTGGAATCTTTTCCAATGACCAGCTGAAGATTTGCACTGAAATACAACTTGTATGCCTTTTGCATTTTTAAAGCCTGCTTCCTGAATTTAAGCAGAGTGATAGTGTTGAAAGAGCCAGCTCAGCCTGTAACATGTTTGAAAAGATGTATCTGCACTTTGAGGTCCCTTTCGAATGCCATTCACGAGACCTCTCAAGCATTTTAATTGCTACATTCAAGCGCCTCACAAGTCCAAGATGCCAGATGCCTTAAGGCATCGAAAACTCAAGACTTTGGGCAAAGCTTGTGGGCTTGCATCGGGGGAGGGAGGGGAACAGAATTTGTGTATTTGTTTGATTTCAGAATAAGGCATCTGAGAGATGCCATTATTTTCTGTGTTTAAGTTAAACTGCATTTTTGTCTTTTGGTTGAAATGTACTGTCCCAATATAAAACAGTAATTATTTGACCTTTGCACTGTTTGTCTGGTCCTTTTCAATTTGATTGCATATAGAAATGTGGAATTTGATCTATTTTTAATGCACTTGTGATAAACTGACACCAGGGTTAGACATTACTTTTCAAAGCTCGAGGTAGACCGAATCGGCGTGCCAGATAGGCCTCTAACCAAAACTGTAAATTCAGGACCAGCAAACTCAGCCCAAGGCAGCTAATCCTCTTCCCTACGAGGGTGATCGGCAGCCCTCATTTGCCAACCTACCCTCTCATTCACTGATCCACCAGCGTGACTGTTAAGAGCTATAAAGTCTTTTTGGTTGTTTTGGTTTTTTTAAGCAAAATGAAAAACCTTTCTATTAGGGTTGTTGGGGGGAGGGGAATGGGCAAAGATATAAACCCCAGCCTTTAAAACTTTGACAATTGTACGTAAATATAGATGTGTGTAAATATAGGCACATGCATATTTTTATGTAAAATTGATTTTTAAAAACTGAAAAGAAATCTATACTCTTACTGATACCATCGCAATGCAGATGGGAAGGTAAGAGTACGTAGTCCAATTTCATGCAGTGAGAAAATACCGGTGCGTGCTGTTAACATCCCAGAACACAGCTTTCCCCGCCTGTTGGCTTAGAATGGCAGGTGAAGCACCCAGGGTATTTTGTTTGGGATTCTTCTGCTAAGCAAAGATCTTGAATTCTCCAAGGTGCTGATAGTGACTGCTGACTCCTTTCTGTAGTCACAGACCTAATGTTAGTTTGTGATGCTCTCTGAATCACTTTTTTGAGCAGGACCTAAATTCTCCTCCCAATAAACCCAAGACTCCAATAATGCCCAGGACGATTCAAAATTGAGCACTGCAGTTGGCCACTTGAGTGGTTTTAGTTTTTAAAGGAAGCATTTTCTTTTTGCCTCTAAGAAAAAAAGGAAAAAGAACAAAAGAAATAGAGTCCTTACCTGGGTTTCCTATGGGCCTCTCTGATCCGTCCCTTAAGTGGCCAAGAGCAAATGCTGGGGTGCAGGGGGAAAAATTGTCAACCTAGGATGGTGATGCTCAAGTAATGGTCAAGTGGAGTCTTGGGGCTCACTATGGGTATTCTGGGCTTTTTTTCTTCTTGCCTCTGCCCCATCCTTTAAAGAAAAAAACTATTTTTAGACAGCATATACACATTATTTAGGCTTTTATACCATGCCATATTGGCAAGAATACCACTTTCATTATGCTTTATGACATATTCCTGAATCTGTCTTCTCTTCCTCCTCCACTTGCTCCTCAAGCTTCCTCCTTTACCTGCCCTGAGTGTTGAACCCCAGGAAGTCAATGGCTGCAAGGTGATTTCCTGCAGGTCAATCTGTTTTTTGTGTGTGTATGTCTAACTCTTGGATGCAGTATGCTTAGGTAGCTGGCTACTGAGTTTTAAAATCCTTTCTGGGAGAAGATGACCCAAAGACCCTTTTAGAGGGGGGGTGGCTTTTCTCATTCAGATCTCTGTGACTATGGGATAGTTTGTTTGCAAAGATATCTGGGGGTGGGGAGGGGTGTGTGTACTATATGTGACTTATCATGATTTCTTCATTAATATTTATTACATGGATGATTTTCTTATACTACATTCTTCTGAAGACGACACTGCCTGGCACTGCCCGAGTCAGCTATTAAATGGCTGAAGAAATTGAGTATCTTGGTCTTCTCTCAAAATCATAAAATGAGAATTAGTAAGGCACCCAATTCCAAGATTTATCCACATTTTTAAGTTTGATTTCTTACTCTATGGGGGGTGGTGACTTAATGGGGCATTCTTCAGTTTAGCTTTTACCTGAGAACCAAACTTGCCTTTACCCCCCGTCCCTAGAATTGGTGCTCTGGGAATATTGCTGTTAACCATCAGTGTTGGGGGCCATCTTCCTAATGGTAAACACAGCCTACAGAGGGGAGCAGCAGATGAGAGAGTATGGAATTCTGTTTCCAGATGTTTATTTCTTTATGTAAATATGACGCCAATGTAAATCCTGTGTCAAGATCTAGAGAATGGTGCTTTTTACTACAGTTAGCACATGCATTTTTAGAACTACTACATGTTTTAGAGAATCTTTGCTGTGTATATGTAAACTTCTGTATCGTTCCACCGTTCACAAATAAATTATTTCATTATTAAAGAAATTTGGGTCTTCCTGTTATTTTGTGCCCTTTTGGGGTTTCTTTCTACTTCCAGAAATGTGTTAATCAGACTTTTTAATTTCATGGAAAATTCACTGACCAAAAGTTTTGAGCACTTAGGCTCTGTGAGAAGACTTCAGATTGTGTGGCTCGGGCTGACCTCATGTGTTGATCGGAACCGATGCTGGTGTAGCTGCCCCTCTTACCTGTTTCCTGTTCCACACTCGCCCTTGGGTCACTGGTTACCACGCAGTCACCTCTGCTGATGTGGGCGACCAAGATGGCACCCGGTCTCTCCAGCCCACGCTCTGCTGGAAAAGAAGGAGATGGGAGTCACAATTTAATACCACATAGTTGTGGAATAAAGTTGGGCAGGGACAGTGCCATGAGAAGTCACAGAGGTGGTGCCATTCAAGTTGGGCCCTGGAGAAAGTAGGTGTCAGCGAGGACAGGAGCCTAGAGCAAAGGCAGGCGTTAGGAAAAGGGGGCAGCCCCGCAGGGCTGGGGTGTGGCCTGGAGGCCAGAGCACGTGGCGAGCGATGGGACACGTGCAGGGAGGACAGACTGTGAAGGACACATGAGATTTACTGAGAGGAGAGAAGGCACCTGCTTTAGGGCATTAATTTACATTCATTCATTCATTCATTCATTCATTCAACATATAGGGGTTGAGCACCCTCTCTGAGCTGGGCTCTGTCGTAGAGCTGAGGACACATCTGTGGACAAAACACAAAACCCTGACCTCTGGTAACACTTTCTAGTGTCACTGGCTCTGGACCTCAAGTCCCGCCCAGCTAGCCTGATTCTTCTTGCTCCCTCAAGAAAGCACTTGTTCAGAGTCGAGTGGAAAGAAAAAGGTGGCTTTCTCCTTCTTTACTAGGGACCTCCTCTTCTTCAAACCACCTAAAAATTCCAGAAGGTTTCTGTGGGGCCCTGGAAGTTATCCATGATGGTGTACACTCTGCAGGGCTTATGAAAAAAGGATATTTCTGGTGTTTCTACTTGGGAGAAGTAGCCTTTCTCTTCCGCTTTCTCCAAAAAGCATGGGCCGAGCACTGGGCCGGTCTAGGATGTGAGATTCTAGAATCCACCTCTGTGGACTCCAAACTGAACCCACCAGGCAGTGAACCGTCAGCAAATGGACAAAAGCTGTGCTGGCCCACAGCACCAGGCCCCTGCTCACTGTGGCTGAGGGAGAGGAAGCTCTGGGCCGCAGATAATCACGGAGGCAGCTCTCACATAAAGAGCAGCCCCCACAAGATGACAAATCTTATTCCCAAGGTTTCCTGACTTTGCTCGCTCACAGCGGCCTGGTGAAGTGTCCTTCTTTCTGCCGTATGGGTCCACATCACCAAAATGGTCAACTCACGGGTCCTGAGAGCTCTGCCTCCGTGCCTCGGGGAGCTCCGACATCAGCTCTGCTGGTGACTGCGGCCACTGTCCCCGTCTCTCAGAAGAGGATGCAGGCAGAGGGAGGGGAGGCATTTGGCCCCGAGTCCACAGAGCTGGGGGGCTCGAACACCAGAGCCCACCTTCCTTTGCCTCAATTGTTGCAAGAGCAGTGTCAAACTCTAATCAGTTTTCCATACATCGCATTTTCTTTTTTAAGCCTTTGGATGTGGCCGTTTTCCGAGAAGGGGCCTTAGGCCCCAGTTAATGAGGCAGAAACTGGGAACGCACAGGGCAAGTGTGGATCGCCACTGCTAAGTCATCATCCTCACCTCCATCTTAACATCCCTCTCTGCCTCTTGTGAGGAATAACCCCTGACCCTTGAAACTCATGGGGGTCTTGTGACAATAACCCAGCATGCTCCTAGAGGAGGACATTCTGTATAGGACTCGAAGACATTCTTTCTACACCAAGTCTTCTTGGTTGTAGACCCTGTGACATCACTTCATTCAACGTTATTTACTTAACACACTTCCACGTAGGTCTTGGAGTTCCCCTTAATCAAGTGCCACTTTGGTCCACCTCTTAGATGTCACTATGACCTAGATGAGGAGGAACACGGCAACCCTCTCTGTAAAGAGACTCTGGAGTAGCAGCCTCTTGTTCCCATCGCCCACTTGGGCCTTCCCATTAATTAAGGGCATTGGGCTTCCCATGGCTGGGGGCTCCAGAGGCAGGAACCCTGTAGGAAAGCACTGTTCAGGGCTTGACACGGACTAGGTGGCAAGTCGGCCCTCTGCCCACACTGTCCCATGTGGAATTCAGGGGACGTCCTTGTGGGGACCACACAAAGCAGATGGGGCTGCTCACTGACTAGGGGTGAACGCTCGCCCAGAGGAACAGGAAGCTGCATGCTGGAGGAGAGTCACTGACCCCCTTTCAGCAGACAGGGGGGCAGTCTGTGCCAGGCCACAGCTTCCGGGACCCTCCCTCAATGTGCACAAAGGCAGCATCTCTGGTGAAGACAGGCTCAGGATTTAGTGGGACAACTGGGGCAAGAGCCGGGACAGAGCAAAGGGTATAGCCCCAAGGCCAGGACGGGGCTGGTGGACTGGGGACTCAAGGGCTGGAGAGGTTCACTGAGGCGCTGAGGGAAGAGAGAGGAGTCTTTTATCAGATGCTCTCGGCCTGACCTGGGGCAGAGGTGAGCGATGACAATCACGGTAGGGAGCTCTGTGTCAGAAATAGGTCTACCTTTAAGGAAACCAATGGCCTGGGAGAGAAGACACGTGGGAGGGCCTAGAGGACAGAGGAAAGGGAGAAACAGTAGCCCAACCAAACTTGCTGGCCAGGCTGGATGACACCCAGCAGCAGTCCCCAGCCCTGCCCCAGAAGGTCTGGGAGACCCAAACCATCTCCTGGAAAGGTCGCTTAGTTAAAAATGTCTGAGAAATTCTTGCCTTGCCTTACTGATATTCCCATCGCCCAGAAGGGATAGGATGCTGTTATCATGGAGCACTGGAGTGAATTCTGATCAGCAGTGGAATGAGAGATCGTCTGGGGGAATACAATGTCCTTCAGATACCCTGGATGGGGGGTCAAGCACACGGACTCCGGTCAGATGGATCCAAGGGCCAATGCCTGGGGCAATTGTCCTGGGCTCTATGTTCCCGTTCCGTAAAGTAAGGATAATAATAGTATTTATTTCCTGTGGCTGTTGGGGGGATTATGTGAGACAGGGTATGGAAAGAACCTAGCCCCATGCCTGACTTTCAGGAGCATTCAGCACATGGGAGCAATCAGGATTATTTTACCAGCAAGGAGAGAAACCCCGCACTGTCAGAGACATAACTAAGGCTTTCAGAAGACAAAATTCTAACATTCAGAAAAGAAATCAGCCTGGAAGGGAAAATTACATGAGATGGCAGGGAAGTGTTCAAATATGTTGTTCTGACTGTGCTATTTAGACAACAAACAGCAGGCAGGAAGTGGCTAAACTGACAGGAGAGAGAGGAGAGTGACTCAGGGATAGAATATGGCCAAAGGTGGGGAAAGGGGCGTTTTTTTCAGGTTGTACCTCACCTAGATGCTGTTCAAAAAGTCAAAACAAATCCTAAAACCCCTCTAGCTCTGCAAGGCGGCTCAGAGACTCTCAAGGAGAGACCAGGAAGTATAGGACTGGTGAAACCAGAGACACCCTTGCTAAAATGCCTACATTTTGCAGGCACCTAATCAGAAGAGTGGGAGGCGCCTTAGAGACTAGGTCTGCAGGTGTCTTTCCAAAAGCAAATTTAGAACAATAGTAGTTAGAGTGCTAGCCAGTCAACAAAGACTCCACATTTCGACTGTGAACTCTGCAACTGCCAGGGCTGTGACAGTTCTCCACAACTTGGCAATTAAAAGCTTTGGTCAAAGCAGCTGCAGGGCAAGCACAGACCAGCACAGGACACGGAACAGCATGGAGCCTAGAAGAGGCATTAGTGGAAACAGATGGCCAAGAGAGGACTTGGGTGAGGCACTGCTTTCTCTTTCCCACACTTAGATCCCTCAATGATGGGTGAAACCACTTTTCAGAACTCAGAGCAGGAATCTAATTGCTTTTCCTGAAGAATGGGTGTGTGTTTCCTCAGGGAAAAGGTGAATCATTAAATGGATCACCTTTCTCTTATTGCTTAGGCTGCCAGGAAGCTCAGAGCCAAATTCACACCTTGCCTTTAGTAATTATGTGAGACCTTGAGATTTGTATATCTAAATTCCCCCTAGTCTTTTCCCTGACCTTGATTTTTATTTAAAATTTCTTTTATTTTAATATATGTAATTTTGGAAGTCATTTAAGTTCACCTTTGCAGAGAATAGGGAAGACACAGTTGTGTAAGAGTGCTACCTATGTATGATCATAATTTTTTTAAATGTTCTGTTCCTCTCTTCAGCAAGCAGAGAGAAGGGAGGTTGACTAAGCAAAGGGTAAGGTTATTGGGGTCCAGAGTGCGGAGAGGGAAGGTTAGTATGGGTTTTTGTTTTTGCTTTTTTTTAAGCAATGGAAATAAACTTGCCAAAGGCTAGTAGGGAGCTGCATCAAGGCTGAAAGCAATCCTTACTTGTCTGTAGGAACTGGGGCTCCTCTGGGGGTTTCCACAGAGGTTGGAGGCAGCGGCAGAGTTGGCCTGGGTCTGAGTCACCTGTCAGAAGCAGAAGGAACACCACCCTTCCTCCCCAACTCAAGAAAGTTCATTGAATTGCAAGTAAATGAGAAAATTGTTTTCACCCCACTAGCCTGGAATCTGCTCTGTTGTGTATTTCCAAAGAGAAAATCAGTATTCAGTAAATTTCAGTATTAAAAAACTCCTTGTGGTCCCACGGAGATTAAATTAGTGGATGCAGGTCTATCTACAAGAAGGCATCTAGTGGCATGAATGGAACATGTTCCCTAACCCTGTCCCATTCAACATGAACACAATAATTTGGACTCAGGTATGGATGACACGTTCTCCACATCGGAGGATGACCCCAAGGTGGCAAGATGGCACTCAGATTGCCTAACAGAAGCAGGATCCAAAACTTCTTGAGCACTAGCGTGAGGGGGCATCTCAGATAAGTGCATTTGAAGAGATTA